GTTATGGTTCTTAGGGATTCAGACCATAAAAACAATGGTTGTTCGAATCCTAGGGAATAGTTAAATTATGTTGAATTCTTTTGCCTACAAGCCATCTTACAATCGACATCCAGGTTCAGCTGCTTTGACGCTCTACCTTGCTGTCCAACCCACCTTGCGGTCATGCACATGCTTCAGAGCGAAGCAGGTCTGCACGAACCACTCGAGGATCTGAGCCTACGGCACCGCGTTGGGCGTTTGCGCATGACCTTCGAGCCGAGCCCAGTCTCCGACATTGAACAGGACGGGAGTTTTTGGTTTGCCTGTCATTGCCTTTACCCATTGGGTCGGTATTAGAATAGGAGACACCATGGAGACACCGACCCCAATAGGATTTGAGTCTAGGATTTCCTCGTCCGGGTAGGACTTGAAGTCGTTTTTTTGCAGATGCGACACGAATACCGCAGAAAACGGTGACCCTACTGGGGACCTCATGAATGTCAATTGCTCGAGGGTGAAGAACTTCAATGAAGATTAATGAAGATCCGTTTGCAAAACCAAGCAAATCTAATCTGTCCCAAAACAAGATCTGATGTTTCAGTTTTCAGTGAAGATCTTGTTTATAAAGGTCAACTGGGGCGTTCCCCAAGCATACCGGTGTCCACGTCCAACCAACCGAAGGCGGGCCGGCGCCGCTGCCATCAACAACACCTACCAGCTGCCGACGATCGCATCGCGCCGGTCGGTCCTCCTCTAAGAGCTTCCCCTGTGGGGCGGAAAAGGCTTCAGTTGAGTCATCTAGACGGTTGATTCATCAAATGCCCAAGGACTGGAGCCACTAGAACCTTTCCAAAACGGGTGTCATGAACCTCCATCTACAAATACGTCATGGATCGTTTTGAGGCGGTCGACCGTGTCAGTTCCTGTTCTGTGGGGGTGGGGTTTTTTTTCTCAGAGACCACCGTCTCCATCTCGCTTCTGAGAGAAATGAGCGCATGGATGTGCTTGGACCTGGCGGCTCCTCGCTGAATGTCAACCCCATGAATGGCTTGTGAAGCACCATTTGGAGACCCCCTGTCAACCCGGACACAAGATTTCTTTCAACCCGTCAACACGAGTATCACATGGTATCTTGTTCCGACCAAACCCGACGCGGTTTGGAGACGTTCTTTTCCCCAGGGCTCAACTAGGTGGAGGTCTTCCTATTAGATTTTCCAACTAACTATGCACAAGCTCTGCCTTTCGGCTGGCTTTATGAATGAAAAGGCAGAATTGTTGCATAGTTGGAGGATCCAAGTATGTCTATATGCACTCCAGACATCTAAAGAATGATATGCCTACGGCCCATATGTCTGCACTCCAGACATTGGTCAGGGACGATCGGCTCTCCTTCCCAAACTTCCCGTTTGCCTCACGGCTCTTGATCTTCATGTGGACGTCCCCATCGTCAGCATAGTCCATCACCTGCGAAAACCGAAGGCAAGGCTCTTCAGGACTCTGAAGCCCTGACTCTTTGAGGTGCTCGTGACGTGACCGGCTTGCGAGGTGAGTGCCATAGCCGCGGAAATTCGGTACGCGCGGTGCCCCCAAAACCATCCAAAGCGTGGAGTGGCAAAGCAAGCTTCGGCGATTGCAAGGTCGGCATCGCAGGACACTTCAGGAAGCAAGACGAGCCGTTGCTTTCTCCCAGTTTGAGAGGAAACCGAAGATCTAGGACTCCATCCTTGACATAGATCCTGGGAACATTAGAAGTCGAGCTATCCAAAGACCCAGAGGGATTTGGGAAACGGACATGGAAAACAATATAAGGTCGCCCCACGGCAAGGAAAGGTGCAAAACAGTTCCTTCTCTCAGTTGCGCTTGTCCTGCTAAAACTTAAGTTGCTCGAAAGTTGTTTGAGCGCAGTCCTTTCACACTGTGATGGGGGAAAGCGCTAGGCTTCCAGCCTTCCATGACCAGAAGGCTGGAGATTCCTAATTAATTACCCCAAGGAAGGGGGGAAATAAACCTATAAATTCGCCACATCCGCAAACATCTGTGGCTCGAATTTGATCTATGAATTAGCGTCTCCTCTAGGGCTTGAGACTAGCTTGGATCCAGGAAAAACCATGGAAAACCCCAGTGCCACTCATCATGGGCACGTCATGGGATCACCATGGTATGTTTGAGGGTGCATCCAACAAGACTTCAACAAGACTTCCTGCGCTTACTTGCTGGGATGGAACCAGGTCTTGGAGCCTTCTTTGCTGCTTGTTGGTGATCCTTGCGCCTGGACTCCACGTCGTTTCTGCCGGACCGGTTGGTGGCCTGGACCGGTTGCTGTGGGATGTGATGTTTCAAGTGCTTTGCATTTGTTTGGTCAAAGACGAGGCCCTTGCGGTACGATGTGAATGGTCAAGGATTGCTGTCGAGTACCTGGATGGAAAACCTTGACAGATGTGGTCTCTGTTGCAAGTCTTGGGGTGCTTTGTGTGCTGCTTGTGTGGCATCTCGAGCTCCAAATCCAAGAATGGCACAGGACGGGAGGTTTTGCACAACATGATTGTGCAAAGATGCGTTGTGAGTGGAGCGCAATGGAGTCCATCCAGCTAGGCTAACAGAGCTGAAACGTCGTGGAGGATGGCATGGATGGATGGGTTCGCACAATGACTCAGTATGGAGATGTGGAGCTTGCAAGACTACTGACCACCTTGACAATACCAATGGTGGCGACAAGGTGCAACTGCGATGTGTACAGTGTTGCATGCCTTGTGTTTGCGCCTTTTGATTTGACTTTGACTGGCTTTCACCAGATACAGGCAGTACTTGAAGTCGCTCTACAGTCGACTCTACGGGATTCCCAGGGCATTTGAATGGATTCCTCGGCGAACGTGTAGCCTTGGTGTTGGGCTTGCCTCGTTCCACGCCAGAGCGCCATGCCTGAAAATTCCATGTTTAAAGTGCATGGCTGGTACAGACCTTTTGGCGCTGTGAATGGAATGCGTCTCCCAACCCCCACCGGATGCGGCCGCAGATATTCCTTACGCAGGGCCGCAGACACCGATCCTTATGGATCCACATAATTACCGATTCGATCCCTCTGCGGCCGATGGGAGACTATTTACATCTATTTACAGTATATGTAGGTGCCTGGTGCCTGCGTCGGGCCCAGCCATAACCTGAGAAGGTGGCAGTGGATCCGGGGATGCGCTGGTCATTCAAGTGCTCTGAGCTCGGCACGATGCATAGACGGTGCTTCCGGGTAATGAAGACCTGACAGGTCTTGGGGTTTCAGGTTCGGTCGGCTTTACCTCGGGGGCGAAGCATGGTGTGTTCGCCTGCGCAATGCACAGGGGTTGACGGTAGAAAGTAGGCCTCTCACAACTCACAAACCCAGTCCCTGAAAAGCAGTACTCCATGTTGCTCCTTTGCAAAGGGACCATTTTGCCATGCTCGTTTCGTGGGAGTTTAGAAACCTGCAGGTGATAGGTGTGTATCTTTTTTGCACCTCACCCAAGTATGATCTGTCAAAGTGGTCCTGGTCTGGTAGAACAGGAGCAGTCGTGAAATCGGTCGACTTGCGAACCGTTCACTCCGCCGAATCCATTGCAGTGGTTCTGAACCGGAAGTGTCTGTTATTCCTTTATAAACCATTGGCCGCCCAGAGAGAGAGCGGCCTCTCTTATAGTTCAAAGTGAAGAGCAAACGGCAAACCGTTTGACCCACCCGTTGACCCAAAGTCCAAAATGGGACAGAATCAATGGGAAAAAACATCATCGGTTGAAACATCTGCAATCAAACACAATGAAAGTCCATCTGTTCTGGTCATGCTCCAAGTGTTTTCAACAAACAGGCTTTGACCCACAGCCACATAGGCCACATCAGTACTACCAAAAAGAGCTTGCATATTCTTTTACAGGGATAACACAAGAATCTCTTGCCAAACACCAAGGCCCTCACGCGCAAGTAAAGCTCCAACAATAAAGACAGTTGGAGCAACCAAATGGCAATGTGAGAAGAACGTTCATGAAAGTAAGTTCAACTTCCTGCTTTCTTTGACGCAAAGAACCCGCCCACCAGTCGCACCAACAGCACTCTTTTCTTTGCAGCATCTGGTGTTGACCCTAAGGGTGTTGACCAGAAACTAACCGGAGCTGAGTCCACATGGATGCGTACACGCCTTTCAATCAACGGGCAGCTGGCAGTCTTGATGAACCCTCTTCGCGGTCACCAGGACGGTTTGGCTCTGAAAGAAACCAGTGGGATGTGTAATTTCAGTGGGAGGGGGAAAGAGGTTTAGAACGGCAGTTCGTTTCACTTGAGGTTTGAAAAGCCAGCCCCGAATCAACACCCCTATATAGAGGCTATAGAAGGAAGTAGACCACCTATATAAATCTGTTTATGAATCGCTCAGACCTGCAGCACCCCCTGCAGACCAAGGCGAGAATTGGCATGCATCTTGGTTCACGGAACGAAACACCCTCCACCCGTAGACGAGACGAAAAGAGTAAAAGACATGGCGCCGTGTGCATTTGAATTGCCCGACCAAGGAATTTTGTTGGTCTAGTTTTCTTCTTCCAGGGGTCGAACTGGGAGGTCTCCCTATTTTAATACACACCCGATCGGTTTGTGGATGTCGAAATTCCCAACAAGTCCAGCATGTGTTATGTGAGTCTCACCCATTTTTCCCCTTCGTCACAGATCCATCTGCTTCTTAGCTGCTACTTTTCTTTTACATCAATTTCAACATGTCATCCATCTGGAGTCCTATCTCGCTCACGCTGTGAATGACAAATCTGCCATCATCCAAGTTCCCGCCGAACGAACGGGAACAAGTTCGCGTTTGGGAGCTATGAGTTCTTGGTCTTTTCCTCTCAAACAAAAGGTCATCATATGAGTTCTAGGTATTATATGAGACCTTGATATACATGTTCTAGGTAATTATAATAGAGTTCTAGGTTCTCATATATAGCACTTATAAGTCCTGAAACCTTGTTCTATGACATTTTCGCTATGCAGATTCCACACCGACAGCGGCAGCACTAGAACTTTCGGAGCCCGCAGTTCAACGCAGCCATCCTGGCACAACAGAGCTTCGACTTCATCAAAAATCATCCAATTTGCAGGTTTTGCCACCTAAATCTTGGTGAGTGGTGTTTGTTGGGCTCAGTGTTCAGTGGACACCCTCTATCTTTGACAGGTAGCGAGCTCGAGAGGCAGGCCCGTCTGCGAACTATATCGTTGTACCGATCGTTGTACCGGTCCGTGAAGGCTCCTGATTGGCCCATATTGGCCCTTGGAATTGAAGGAATCGGAGGGTCGTTGCTCGTACTTGACCCATAAATTGGATAATATCCCTATAGCCTATAGCCTTTAAGGACCATTGAAAAGATGGTTGAGGGTTTTGTGAAATCCTTAGTAATGGTGGGCCGCGAATCGGGACCGCCTAGGGATTAAGTGCGCTTCGGCAGTCCAAGCAGCTCCGGTCATGTCAGTCGGCACAAACGGCTCATAAATGGGGTGAGGTGTCTTAAGGTGGATTACATGGACACCCCCCCGGTCAGTGTCCCCCCCGAACAATCATTTCTCCAAACACCAATTCGGCACCAACGGGTTCGTGCCATCGTCCAAGCACAAAAAACACACACACCCAACTCACATCACCGACTCCAAACGAAGCGCGCGGGCGCGGTCTTGTTCTCTCTCCGAAGCGAGCGAACGAAGTCAACGGTCCTCCCAATGTCACGGTCCGTGCACCCAGAAGGTGCCCCGGCCGCTCGCAGACCCTCGCGACGGTGATCGGATGGGACTTGATGGAGGTGGACTGCCCAAAGACTCCATGGGATCTGGAACAGAGCTCTCCAGGCGACAAGTTGAGCCTGAATGAGGGTCCAGGTATGCCTACATGGACCCCCTTTTGTAACCACTGGAAGGATGGAAGATGGAGTGTCTGAGATTGGATGCTTTCGAAGATGTATCGAGAAGGGGGAGGCTTTCTTTGTTCGGTCGAGAAGAGCTCAAAGGGGTGATACATGCTGTCTCAACATGTGTCACCCTTAGCAGTCGGTTGCAATGGCTGTTGCAGGCCCCCAAAGGTAGAGCTGGCTCCATTGACCAAGAGTAGGTTCTACATGGTTCTATACTTTTAGTATACTGTTCTACTCCCTACTCCACGAGTTTTCTAGATCGACCTCTGTTTTGGACCAAGTAAGGTCGGTCAGGTCAGGTCGGGTCAGGGGCAAGATTCAGGCAGTTCTTGGTTCCTTGTCAATCCTCCTGGGCGGAGGGAACATCGCAATGGAACATCGTTGGAAGAAGAAGCTCCTTAGCCTAACAACACATGTTTCCTTGCTAGCACACCAAGGCAGGTGCGGCAGGTTCCTTTGACTCACACAGCACAGGAACCTTTGGTTGAGCCTTCAAAATTCACCCGGCTGAGAACCGTGCAAAAGTTCTACACAGGAACCGCTTGAGTGGGTTCGCGGGTTCTCCTGGAGCTGTGTCCTTGTTCTGTCCACACATTCGTGGTGATTGCGGTATTTAGAACTCATGACCTTGAAAGACTTCCTTGGAGATTTCTTGGACCCAAAATGATGCCACATCACCTCAGCATGGTTGGCGCACATGTTTCAACATGTTTCAACTGGCATGCAAGTTCCACGCCCCGTCTCATGGCACATGGCACCCCTCAGCCTCAGTTGAGGGTAAACTTCTGAGTACTCTTTGAGTCTCGGAATGCAACTCCTTCGACCGCAGGCAGAGTCGCGCCAAGTGCAGCTGCGCGAAGTGCAGCTACTCACGCACACATGCCTTTTGGGGTGTGGGATGCAAGCGGGTTGGCAGCCATGTTTCTTCTTTTTTTTAAAGGACGAATGGGTAATAATGGGTAATTACTGTATAATATACATATACAGTCATATACATGCATGGGTCTATAACAGTGTTCAACTGTAAGCCAGTGTGAGAGTGAGTGAAAACAAAGAGCCTGGATCCAATGGACCCAACTTCATCCTTTTCCTCTATACTAACCACTTTTCAGGGTCCAACCTGCGGTGCTTTACAGCACCGGTGGGGAAGCCTGGATCGATGCCTTCAAACCCTTCCCCCGGCGGGTGGGAGAGCCTGGATCGAGAGCTCGCGACGGCGTGTCGTTTCAGCGGACGCATCCAACCCCGCCGGGATCGAGGGATGTGGCGAAGATACTCCGCAGTGAAGGGCTTCATTCGGATCAGGAATTGGTAGTCTGGAGCAGGAACTCCGTCAAGGAATCAGGAGCATTGCATGTATTCAAAATGTCCTCTTTCTAGGTACATACCAAGTTATGGACAGCTGCAAAGCTCTTCCTTCATGTTGAGATACCGAAACACGGAAAATGCTCTGCTGTCCGTTGGTGTCATAGAATGTCCCTTCCACTTGCCTGCCAAAATGGGTGGCTTCTATTCGGCTGTTGCAGATCTGTCAAATCAACCGTAGGTCCAATATACTTGGACCCACAACTTCTTGTGGTTAATGGACACCCCTTAACCTCTAAGGGGCTATCAATAGACACCCGGTATGGTTCGTGTATTTTAATATAGGGGAACCCCCAACCCTTCCATGGGATCTTCAGGAGGGAGACCCCTATTTTAATAGACACTCATTTACAGTGATTTCAGAGTAGATGGCACTGGCACCCCAACATGTCTTTTATATGGGGGTCCTTCTAAACCACCGAACTTGGGGATTGTGCCATCTACTCTGAAACCACTGTAATTACACAAATATACACCAGTCTTGGCAGGTCGGCAGGTCTTTTGCACCCTGCTTCCACCAACCCCAACTCATCCTGTCTGCCCCCTGCTCTCGTCCTCGAGGCCGCCCTTGTTGAACACACGCTGGGCTGTCAGAGTCGAGCCCTCCGCCGTCGTGGAATGGGTGGAAGAAGGGCGAAACAAAAAAAGAAAACCGCTCGGCCTACCGGCCTACCGTGCCGGTGGTAGGTGTGGAGGCCAACGAACCGCTCGGCCTACCATGCCGGTGGTAGGCCCTCCCGTGCCCGTGGTAGGTGTGGAGGCCAACGAACCGCTGTGGAGGGACCCTGCCAAGGAATCCAACGAAGTTTCCCCTCAAAGATGCGCGGTTCAGTGATTCGAATCTGCGACCTGTCGAAAGAAGTTTCCCGCGAAACCTGGTGCAGCAAAAAGGGTTGAGACCAACTGGACTGGCCCGTTACGGGACATGAAGCCGTTGGACCAAGGGGCCTGTTTTCGTTGGACAACCTCACAGTTCATGGGCTCCAATCTGACGAGCCGAGTATTCGAAGTGTTTCAGGTCCCCATCCTTGCAATTAGATGTGCTTGACTCCTCCTGAAGGACCCGAAAGAAGCTGAATTTTGGGGGGAAGAAGCAGGCAAAAATGAAAGAAATCACCTGCCAGTGCAAAGAAGACATAGAGGGTAACTGTCACATCACCCAGACATACGTGTCTGGGTGGTTCTCGAATTCTCTTCCAACACTGCACAGGCTGCCCTGAAGGTGACGACCTACCTTGTCCAAGCAAGTTTGCTTTATTATCTTTGTTTTAAGGAAAACAGAAACGGTTCATGTACGATTCCATACGGCTGCTTTTTGCCAAATCAACGAATACGGCCAAATGTGGGTTTCACACGGTTGAAACCAGGTTGCACCTAGGAAACCAGCAGCAGTTATATGGGATTACATAACAATTGATATCATTGTGTTGATCGATATGTTTACAATTTGATAAAATTTGGGCTTCCTACGGGCACCGGTTCTATATATGTGTTTGTGGATCCATACGGTCATTTACGTGTCAAATATGATAAGATCCACCCTTGGTCTGGTTTTTCTGTTGTTCATACCCCAAGAATCCAGGCCTTCAAACAGGAAGGGGCTTTGAGGGTCCGGACAGATCAATTTGTCCAAGGATTCTTGGATAGAGTCCGCCCAAAATCACACGTTGTCATCCATAACAATTATTCGTAACTTGTTTTTTGTATGTGTTGTATCTGCGGACTTCTGAAGGCCCGAAAGTCTCCAAAAAAGAGGATGTTCAGATCAGATCAGATTGAAATTCCATGCAAATACGGCCTTCGAAGCCATCAAACATTGTGCCCTTCGCTTGATTCACCCCCCCTCCGGTGGCTCATGCGCCTTGGTGGGGCCACCGCTCGTCCACTGCAACTCGGGAGGAGCCTCAACCACCTGAGGACACGGGAGAAGCACTGGAGCATGGGAAGAAAACATGTGTTTTTGCTGTTCAACTTGAACACATTGAAGAATGAAGCCACCTGCTCTTTTTGATAGGCTCGCCGATAGGCTCGCCTGCCCAGTGGAATCTGAATCTTTTCGCAGGGTCACTTTGGATGATCGGCTGGACCGCACCCAAAACACGGCATTTGGAAGATAATACACGACGTAGCACATCGCGAAGACGACGACTTTCCTCTGGGAAAGGGGAGAGACACCTGGAAAGATGAACATGGAACCTTATGGCATGCACCTTTGGAAGACTAGCTTCCTCCACAAACCAGTCGTTTTCGTGTCCGCATCCATTCAGCCCGAACATCAGCCTCAAAGGAAAGATTTCCCAGAGGATTTTCAGTGTGACCCAGAACTTGCTTGCTTGCTTGCTTGCGAGTGCAAGCATGGCGACCCGCCACTGTTTAAGTATCAAAATACCAATAGAGGACCATTTACCTCTACAAACCAAGTTGTTAAGCTCCTTATGGAACAGAGGAAGAAACACAAACACTCGGAAGAACCTTCTCCAAGTGAATGATCACTTCACCTTCACCAAATCCTTCATACCACTGCAATCAGTACAGACCAAATTGCCCAACAAAGACCGGGATCGCCCTCCCGCCGTCGGGTCCGATCCCTTCGTTCGCCTCCGTGGATGCGATCACGGCGCTTCTTGCTCGGACCGAGGCGCATGGAAGTTGGTGGCGAAGGGCGCTGAGGCACTCGAGCGGCTCCAGTTGTGTAGCCACTCCTGTAGCGCAGTGAGGTCTCGCCGAACAAAAAAGAAGAGCCAAAACGAAAAAAAAGAGAGCAAAACTGCTGGGGAATCGGAGCTCGCAGGCGACTCGCTCCTGTTTTCTTGGGAAGTTTTCTGGGGAGTTGGGAAGGGAGCTCATGGTGGCAGAGCTGGCTCCTTGGAGTTCAGGGTTCAACTCGGTGAAAGAGACCAATTCCTCTGCACAAAATAACAAGCACGTGAGAGCAAATGTAAAATACATACAATGTTAGATCTAGAATTATCCCGGCAAGAGACCCCAAACAGTGTGTGTGTGAGGTCTGTAAGCAGAAAGTCTAGAGATCCAGACGCATTGCGGTCCAGAGAGGTGATGGTGGCGATGAAGTGAAGGTGAGTGTGAGTGAGTGTGGGTGAGAGGGAGTGTGAGTGTGAGCGAGAGTGGGAGAGTGAGTGTCAGTGCAAGTGTGAGTGAGAGTGAGTGTGGGTGAGAGTGAGAGTGAGTGTGAGTGTGAGTGTAAGTGAGCGTGAGTGAGAGTGAAGGTGGGTGTTAGTGAGTGTGGGTGAAAGTGAGAGTGTGAGTGAGAGTGGGAGAGTGAGTGTGAGTGAGTGCGGGTGTGAGTGAG